GGCGGGGCGCACGGACCGGGGTGGGAAATTCAAGGGGAACCGGAGCGCGGCCGGTGTTCCTCACCCCCCCGGCTTTCCCCGCAGGCATGGCCGCTGTGCCGGTGAGCCCGGCGCTGGCCTGAGCCCGGAGGGCTTGGGGGGGTTCAAACCACCTTCCCCTCGCCTCCGAGTCCGCCTCTTCCCCCCCCCCAGCTCCCCGAAAAAGGGCCTCCCGGGCGTGTGGGGCCCCGCAGCCCCCGGGGCCGGCGTTATCTGATGCCCTTTTGGAGCTGCTCCCCCGTCTCCCAAGAGTACTTTAGACTTATGGAGACACGAGGGCCCCCCGGGGGGGTGTGGGGGGTCGGAAAAAGGGATGTTTTCAGGATTGTTAGGGTTTATTAGGGCGAATTGGCCTGTTGGTAGCAGTGAGAGCGCGATGGGGGGTGGTGGAGGGAGGGTGGTGGTCGCCTCGACTCCATCGTGTCTGTCCTGTGACTTGGGGTGATGAAAGCCTCGCAGACAGTGGTTTCCACCCTGTACCAGCGTTGTTTCTACTTTATAGGAAGGGAGAAGTCCTTAGTTAGGTTCATTTTTTTTTTTAAAGAAAAGCATATCTGAAGGCTCTTGAAAACAGGAGCGAAGACTTCCCGAAGTTGGGTGTTGCAGTGTGTGGAGCAGCAGCACCTCTGGGGTTGCTCTGGTTTTGAATGATGTTGAAAAAGTAGAGACCAGTTTCTGGGCTTTATTGTTTGGATGTTTGTTTTTTTCCCTTGAAATACTTCCCTGTGTATCTTTTATAGTTGGAGGTGTGGAGACTTTTTATTTACCTTTGGTTTAGACTCGTTCCTGGAAAATTCCCAAATTTCTCCACTCCTCAAGGAGAGAGTGACCGTGCTGGGCCTTGGGCGGTGGAGGTGGTAGCGTCGTCCCTGCCTACAGGTGTTCAGTGCTTCCCAAGTGCTGTTCAAACCCTGGCTTGACTTTGCATTGTCCTCTTCGGTGCGGCAGCAATGTTGACATAACTGCGTGAATACAAGAGGAGCTGCAAGAACATGGCTGAACAGACAGTTCTTGGGGAAAAGGGGGTTGAGTGTGTGGGGTGGGTTTTCAGAATTTCTTTATGTGTGTCTTTTTTTCCCCCTCAGTAAAGTCCTCTTGATGCTTGGCAGCCCAGTGTGATGTATTTCAGTCCGGTGGGTGACAGGCAGCGTGCATAGTAAGAGGCCATTCAAGAGATAAAACATTGAGGGGGGATTTGGTTTTGGATGCTTTAAATCATCAAAGAAGCTTTGCGGTTGTGTGTATGTGTGACTGCAGTGCAAAAGGCTTAGGCTGATTTGGCTGGACTAATAGGAGCTACAAACACTTTCTCATACAGAAGGCTGTTAGCTGCCACGCTTCCATTTCAGATCTTATAGGTGGCCTCGATAATAAGGCAATTGGCTCAAAACTGAAGCACCAACACGAGGGATAATTCAACAGTGTACGGGTGCCTCAGACTTTCTGGTAGGAAGTCACAAGATTAATTTGTTTAGCGGTGAGAACACATGCAGGTAACTGGGGACCCTGTAAAAAACGGTGATGTGAGAGATCAAGGCTGTGAAAAAGGCAGTGTGTGGATGCAATGCTGAACATCGTGTGCCTGCCCTGAGTCAGGGGTGCCCCAGAAACCTCTTTCCCATGAGAGCATGGGATGGAAGAGAAAGTAAGAGTGTTAAGCGTGAGAGAACAAGTTCCTTGTCTCTACAGCTGTGAGGAGAAGCTGAGCAGAGTGTCTGTTTTACTTTAAATGGTAACAGGATGAGGGGAGGGCCGTGAGCTGCCTGGGTATGTTGTTCAGCCCAAAAAGCAGATTATCCAAGGGGGTGTGTGTAGTGGAAGAAAGCAGACAGGATTTCATTTCTGTTCAGTGCTGCCTGGAAGCTGTCTGCAGGCAGCAGCGCGTTTTGCTCGATCTCCCTCGCTGCACAGCCGTAGCACTCAGTTAGTGTGTGCTTTGAGTTGCTTCTGGAGGTCAGTGCTTCATGCCTGAACCCAAGTTAGGAGGGTTTTTTTTTCCCCATCAGAAACTAGGAAGGCTTATTGCATAATGGACCAACTGAGGGGAAATTATGCAAATCAAAGCAATCCTTATCTGGTGTGATTAAATCTTAATGTATTACTCTTCCCCCCTCCCCCTGTCTTTGTCACTCCTACTTTTTATTGCTATAGCTAGAGGATACTCCTCTTACCAAAGAAAACCCTGGGCCTAGTCAACGTGTGTTTTTGCAAAAGCAGTGTAGCAGGATGAAGGGTCTCTGCCAAGTACTTGTACTTGCAGGTTGTAATCCCGCAACCCAGTGGTGGGATCTTGAAAATTGGAAATCGTGTTTTACCCAGGCCTCTTCAAGGCGTAGCTAAAGTCACTAGCTCCTCTAGGTGAGAACTGTGTCTGGTCCACTCGTCTTCATGTGTTTGGTGCTACTGGAGATTGATGGTAAAGATGCACTGATATTCCAGGCAAAGAAGTGTGGGAGATGACGCTGGGTAGTTGGCACAGCACTGAAAAAACCAGGAAGGGCTCCTCGGCTGTGCAGTGGTAGCATTTGGAAAGCCAGCTCTGCTCCTGAGTCTTCAAGCAGCTCTGAGAGATTTTTGTCCTGATATCCAGGGAAGATTTAAGGTGTGTGGGTGGTCCTGTTTTTACCTCGATGATGAAAACCTTTGAGAGGGTTAGATCCCTTGTCATGGGAGGAGAGCTTGTCCTTCTGTAATTTGGAAAGCAGCAGTCTGTTCACAATAAGCAGTTAGTACCTGTTGAGTAAAATCTGCATCTACTGTCCTAGATGCTGAGAGTTTGTTCTGTCGATGCAGTTGATTAGACTTTTGATCAAAGCTAGGAGATTGAACACAGCTCTTGGAAGGAGTAAGAAAGATCTGGAGAAGGCATTTACTTCCCTTGCTAAGATTATGTAGGGTCATGGAGCAGCGTTTTCATTCCAATAGGTATAGTCTGTATCATGCCTCACATGGTTAATATGTTTACTGAAGACTCTCATGAGGCAGCAGGACAGTAACTTTTCTGTTTTCTCTGCACAGTTGATTATAATGACATAAGTACTAGAACAGACCAGCTCTCCAGAGACTGCTTAATTTATTTTGGCTTTTACTTGACATTTCTTGTTGGATTAGGTGATGTTAGAATAGGGTACTTCTGAGCTTGTCTGCTGATTTGCACCCCTCCTGTTTCCTGGTCAATCATGGCTTCTGTTGAGAACATCAGCCATGAATGACTCAATTAGTCCAGGGAGGAAAAGCATAAACTGTATCTGAAAGACAATAAGATTTTCTGGGGTCTGTATAAAACTTGTTAACACTGGTGTGTACAAATGTTGTGCTTAAGCCAATGGGGGGAAAAAATAATCTTGCATGGAAAAAAAACGCTGTTTTTTCTGTGGCAGTTTTGATGAGTCAGAGTTCCTAGGCTAAGTCAAGTAACAGGGGTGACATTTCTGACCAGACAGACCTTCCTTTGTGTTCAGACCATGTGATTAATTCTTGATAAGATGTGGATCTGGAGTACTGTAGGCTGCCTTCTCTTTGTACAGCTGGAAAATGAGGGGAGAGCAGGGAAATCCTACAGTGCTGAGGGGTGGGATGAGCCCCTTGTCCCCTGGCAGCTCAGCCAGTGCCAGCCTTGGGCTCATCTTGCCAGATGTCCCTGAAGGCACTGAACAGGGGCAGGACTTTGACCGATGGGCCAAGTTCAGATTTGAATAATGGAGCAGGAGGTTCAGACTCTGCATGAAATCTTTCTATGGCAAGAACAGAAACTGCTACTGACTGACCTTTTCTGCAAGGTGGTACTAAAGCAACAGAAGGGAATATATTGTGCTTTTTTTTAAACTGAGGAGCTCTGAGCTGGGTAAGATGGACTCCATTAAGACCCAAATATTTGGATGGTTAAAGAAGTGAGTAACTGTCTGCCTTTTGTCCTGACTGCAGCTGATCGCTGGGGTTTTTGTTCAGCTTTTTTTAAGCAAATCATGCTTGAACAAGGGCAGTGAGCTTTTTCATGTTTGCCCACTTGTAGGTCATCTCTGCAGCTGAAAGAGCTTAAACACATATATTCTTGGGCTGCCCTCGATAAGCTGAGTAACTGCACTTCTCTCGGAAGTTTCAAAGAACCAAGAGGTTTTTAGATCACCTGCAAGAGCTTGCCAGGCTTTTCTTGGGGGAAAGGGTGAAGGTGAAGGTGATGAACTGCTAGTCAAGGCACCAGCTCCTTCACCTTCGGTAGAAAGAATTTATTGTCTCAAGCAGTAATCAAGAAGCATGCGTTTTGTGCAGAACTGTTTGGACTTGTCTGCTAGAGCTCTAGCAGAAATCAAAGTTGTTTCCTTTGAAGACCGAAGGAGAGAGAAGCTTCGTGGTGACTTTCTGTGAATTGCCCCGTGGCAAATTTTTGTGATGCTGGAATGCAAGGACGGTGCTGGTTTAAGTTCTGTGGCTTTTTGCCTTTTTTTTTTTTTAAGAGGAGAAATGGAAGTTTAGATGCAGGGAAGAGAATGTCAGGAATGCTGACAGTCTGTAGTTCCGTGTCCTTTTCCTGGAGGAGAGGAGGCAGACAGCTTGGTTCTGCTCCACTTGTGCAATGGAAAAATTTTTCATATCTCTGGAGCTGCGTGCAAGGATGTGGGGGATGCACAGCCTGCCTTCACTGAGCGGGGCAAGAGAGGACTGTCTGTGCATGTGGAATGCATGAGTGGCTGCAGAGTGGTGTGCACAGAGCTTTCTCAGAACAATAAAAATAGTTGTCTAGATGTGACTGAGGGATTCTTTTAGAAAAGTAATGATTTTTTGCTTTTTTTTCCCACGTAGTTTCACTTTTGGTTTTGCTTTCTACTTCTCTTTCAGTAAATAATAAAAATTATCTTGTGCTTGCTGCCCAACAGGACAGTTCTTGGATCCTAACAATAGTTTCTGTGTCCAGATTGCTCTCAGGAATCCAGTTTGATTTGAGGTGCTCATGCTCAGTGCCTTTGGAAACCTTTTCTTAATCTTGTTAACGGTTTGACTGTGGTGCCACTAACTGCTGTTTCATCTCAGAATACTTCTCTGGGATGTTACTGGATGAAAATCTCATAGCAGAAAACTTGGCAGAGATGTAACAGGTCCCACACAGAAGTGAAGGGAGGAAAAAGCTGCTCTTGGAGGCTTGTGACTGTCTGGAAATGTATAGAGTACTTAATGAAGGAACTGCACTGTTAGGCTATACTGGTGTCTGGTTTTGGTATCTTACAGGGTGTCCAAACTTGTTGCAGTTTGGGAATATTTCTGCCTGTAACTCTTCTGTACTTTTTTTTGTCTTTTAAGTGATGCTTGTATGTGCTAAATTATAATTTGTCCTTTAGATGCTTGTTTACCCAATCATGACAAGATATAAATCTGCATGATTTTATGTAGAATTAACCATAATGAAAGTGAATGGAAATCCATCTGAATAAAGGGGCTTTAAGCAGATCATCTGCTCTGTGAAGTGTAAGCAGGACTGAGCACAAATTGAATCTGTGAAGTGCACTATGGCTTTGTATACCATTCTCACTGGTCAAACTGCCATAAATTGAAAGCAGATTTCTGTTGCATAACCAGCCAGCTAGATGCCAAACTGAGAATGAAAGCGGTGGAACTTATCCCCCAGATTCGACCAGTCAGCGACATACCACCTCCTTATTTATCTTCAGTTGATAGGCTGTTCCTTGCCAGAGGATGTGGAGGACTGAGAGCAGGGAGGAGGAGTTAATGCCTTGAAGGGAACATACGTATGCACTCAGGAATTGGTTTCTTCTGCTCTTCATCACTTTTTCAGCTTGAGCTGGGGCTCATACATCAAGACTGACTGAATAGCATGTAGCTTGCTTTCCTCCTAGCTAGACTTCCACAATGGCTGTAATTTGTGTATGGGGGATACTGCTGAGGAGACTTGTCTGCTCACTAGCTGTTGGGTTTTTTTTTAATTGAAGTGGCATAACTTTAATAAACTGTAATCATTTTGTCTGCCTGACAGCTTGTGTGCATAGTTCATGTCGACTCCTGTAGATAAGTGGATGGTAAGGTGTTTATAATGGTACTGTGTCTTCTCTTGCAGGCTGGAAGAGATAAATATGAGCCCACTGCTACATCAGAGCATGGTGCAAAGAAAAAGGGGAAGAAGGAGAGGGACATGGATGAGCTTAAAAAGGAAGTCTCAATGGTAAGAGTGTTGGGCATGGAAAGAGCAGCTTTAAGAATGTTTACTACCCCCAAAGCCCTGTGCCTCATGTGGCTTAAAGAAAAGAGCTGGTGTGCTGACAGCATGGTGTGGCTGAAAGGCACTGATCTCCCTTCCCGGCCCCTTTGTCTCCAAGCCAGACATGCTGCAAGTGTTTCAGCATTGAGATGACCATGCAGTAGGCCCTGAAAACATCACTTCTCAAAAGACACTTGACACAGAACCCAAGTATCTGTTTGTCTGTGTTACCCATAGCACACCGTAGCTGCATTTCCTCACCCAGGCAAGTGCTGTCTGGATAGCAGCATTGCAGGCTTTATTGTGCTGTCATGTGCGTGAGACTGCTGTTTGCATTGCAGCTGAGGAGTTGAGTCTGTACAGCTCCATTTACTGCTGGTCTCTACTCAGACCTCAGTATTATTCCTTCTAATTGTGTTTGAGGCTGTGGGGAGTGTCTTTTGTCCCCATTTGTGGAGGTTGGATGATGCTGTGCATCTATGAGCGTTGTCCAGCTTAGATCTGCTCTTCTTGAAGATGATACTGGTTTTGTTTGTGCTGTGGATTTGAGTCTGAGCTTTCACATCTTTGGCCCCTCTGTTAGGGAGAGGGGATACCAATGCTTGCCCCAAGGTGAGATTTTTGTGTTCAGTAGTGATAACTTAAAGCATCTGCTCTCTCCAGTACAATCTTGTGAGGCACTCCTCAGCACCAACATGATCCAGTTGAAAAATAGCCTGGCTGTGAAAAGGAGCCTCTTTCAGGGAAGAAGCACTGCTTAAACTGGCAGCATTACTTAAAAACGTGTGAAATTACAGGGCTAATCTTCTGTACATTCCTACCTTCCTTCCCAACTCCTTTTCGCATCCCCACCTCCCCCCCACCCCCCCCAAAAAAAACCCAACCCACTGAGGCTTTACAGAATCTGCTGGGGGTGTAAAGACTGCACTGAGACATTTGTTTTAAAAGCTGTCATGTTGTACCCAAATAGCCACAAGAATGCTAAAGATGGAGACCGCTTTGAGTTGCAGAATGAGTTTGAAATTCTCTTCACAGAGAAGATGAGGTAGAGTCTTGTTATCTCATCAAAACGTTAGAGATAGGAAACTTGGGGTGGGGGATGGAATTGCTGAGCTCTTTCTGATGAGCCTGCAGGCACTGTGATCTCTTCCCCTGCAACCATTTCTTGTCTTTCAGGATGACCACAAGCTGAGCCTTGATGAACTTCATCGTAAATATGGAACAGACTTGAGTCGGGTAGGTAGGCTTTGTTTTCCCCCCCCTCCTTGCCCTGATCTGAAAAGGGAACAGTCTGGGCTCAGAGCACTTCACAAAGGAAGATCTGGGTGGTCTGTTTTTTTTTTCCCTTTCTTTTTTTTGTTTAATCTCCCCTCTTCCAGTTAAGTTTCCCAGGCTTTGAGAGAGCTGTTGAGCTCACAAATACTTCTCTTCCTCCTCCCACTGTACAGCTTGACTGCAATACTTCAGTGACTTTGGTTCTAACGACGTCACTGTTATCTGCCTCTGAATTGTTCCAAGGTCAAGTTGATTCTTGGATTTTTTTTTTTTTCCCCTGAGGAGCTTGTAATAAAGGCAAATGTTTGTTATATTGCAGATGTAGTCTAGTGAGCTAGCATATGCCCAGAGACTTAATGATGGCTAGTAGCAGTTAAAATTTCACCCTTTCATAGTAAGAGGTGTGCAGATGTCCTAGCTAACCTCAAAGTCCAGTGCAGAAGCACTGGAGTGGTTTTGCACCTTTGCTCTTGTTTGCTTTGCTTAATGTGGTTTTTTGCATGACTGCATATAGCAGCAAGTCTGCTCTTACTCTAGAACAGCACAGAGACTTGCATACTTCTGTTAAGGACCTTGGCTTCTGAAAGCTGAACTTCCTGGAAGGCCAGTCCAAAGTGTCATCATCTTTATGGCCCCCAGCTTTCACTTGTTCCATAATTTGATAGGATGGATTGCACTGGGCTGTTCCTCGGGGCTCAAAGTCTGCTGCTGTAGCCTTCTTGTTCTGCTCGTCTTGGGTGTTTGTAGCCCTGTGGCCTGCAGGTTCCTCAAGTAGCATCCAACATTCTGCGCTTGTGTTGCAGAGCCATGGCAGCTGTGGAGATCTCCATTTCTTCTTAGCATCTCCTCGTTGCTGTGGCAGAACACAAATTCAGAGCTACCTTCCCCAGTCAGTCTTGCCACAATGCCTATAAAAGGAACCTCTCTTCTAGGGTCTGACATCTGCACGTGCAGCTGAGATTTTAGCTCGTGATGGCCCAAATTCCCTCACACCTCCACCCACCACTCCTGAATGGGTAAAGTTCTGTCGGCAGCTCTTTGGAGGATTCTCACTCCTGTTGTGGATTGGTGCTATTCTGTGTTTTCTGGCTTACGGCATACAAAGTGTGATGGAGGAGGAACGCAACAACGATAACGTAAGTAACAATGTCTGTTTTGCCTCAAAGGCAGGCTGAGCAGCCTGTTTGTCTCAAAGCAGATTAACTTCCTCTAAGCATTCAGTCCAGAAGCTTTTCCCATAAGCATGGGAAATCCAGTGTGTGAGCTTAACATGTCTTGGAGTGCTTCCACATAATGAAATGAACAGCTGACTTCCTTCGTGCTGTGTTAATGACACTAGCTTGTAGATGGCTTTTGTGTACAAAATGTACAGAGACTGCAAGTACCTCCATGCTTTGTGATGTGGCACTTAAAATACCAAGCAATTTATCTGGACAAACTGGAAGCCTTTCAGGCAGATTGTTGACTTGCTTTCTTTTCTCCTTGTAGCTGTACCTGGGTGTTGTGTTGGCAGCTGTAGTTATCATTACTGGCTGTTTCTCTTATTACCAAGAAGCAAAAAGTTCCAAGATCATGGAGTCCTTCAAGAACATGGTGCCTCAGGTATGGAATACCTCACTTCCTTCATCTGCCAAGCTGTAGCTTGCTCAAGGTTATTAACTGTTTGAAACACCAGCTTCAATTGCAAAAGACCTGGCTGTTAGTGTGGGTTTCTAGCTCTTAATTTCAAGGGGTTTGAGACTCCTTCCTCTTTATGCTCCCAGACATCTATGCTAATAGGCCAAGGCACCCTGTGAGTTTCACCAGCTTATTAACATTAACATTCATAGGACACTTCTATTGATAGTCTGGCAGGTTCAGTAACTGGTATGATAAATACTGAACCTCAAGATTCCTTCATGGAGAGTCTGTATCATACATAACTATCTTACTGTTTCCTTGGCAACAAGGAACTTTAATATCAAGAAAACAGAAATAGCTGTTTTTCTTAACACACATATCTGAGATAAACATCTTAGTACAAGTAGAAACCTCATAGAACCATAGCAAAACTATTTTAAGATACTTAGATCTTTTGAGTCCCTTCCGAAGAGCTGCTTTTGACATAGATTGTTTCTTTACTGTCTTTCAGCAAGCTCTTGTAGTCAGAAATGGTGAGAAGATCAGCATCAATGCTGAAGGTGTTGTAGTTGGAGATCTAGTGGAGGTGAAAGGAGGAGACAGAATCCCAGCTGACCTTCGGATCATATCTGCACATGGTTGCAAGGTACAGCAGTGGAAGACTCTGAAAACTTCATTGTGAAGGGTGATGAATTAGTCTGGTTTCAAAGAATGTCTTCTGTGCTGTGAATGGGGGGTGGAGTGGAAGAGAAGAGTTGGGGAAGTGCTTGGTGTTTGATCTGCTTTCACCACTGAAGCATCCACCTGCTTGCATGTGACAAAGTGCTCTCTTCCATGCAGGTGGATAACTCCTCACTTACTGGTGAATCAGAGCCTCAGACCAGGTCTCCAGACTTCTCTAATGAGAACCCACTGGAGACCAGGAACATTGCTTTCTTTTCCACCAACTGTGTGGAAGGTATGTGACTTTCCTACTTCCCTAAAGTATTAACAGTGCTAGAGATCAAACTGCAGAGGTGAGCAATGCAAATGTTGTGCGAGTTTAGTGTATTACTTGGTATCCTACTGCTACCATGCAGGAGCAGGCTGGAAGTTCCCAGCAAAGGCTTTGCCAGTTCCAACTAAAATACTGTGCAGTGGGCAAAGAAGAGTCGACAGCACTACTGTGCTTTTTCTTTCTTGCTTCTCCTAGAGGAGCAGCTATGCTGTGTATATTTGAGACTGACTGCCTTATTACAGCAGTGTTACAGATAACATAATGTGAACCAAGATGGTTAGGCAGAGCTGTAAGAATTATGACAGCTGCTACAGGAGTTTCAAACTGGCAGAACTTCCTGTTGCAGCTCTGTACGGTGGTAGATACTTTGTGATGAAGCTCAGAGTATCTTTTCCATACCCACACCATGTCAATATGTGAATGTTCAGTGATGGTGTAGAGTTCTGCCTGACTCCTTTTGTGTTCTCTTCTGACAGATTCTCACCAGCAGACTGTCCCCTGCTCTTCCCCCAAAAAGATTGAGTTACATATATGGTTCTTAAGGAAGCAAAGTGCCTCATGGTCAGTGTGCATTCAGAGCTAAAGCCTAAAGTAATGGTAGGTGTTCTGTAGTGAGTGCTTTAGAAATTCAGTGTATTTAGACTAGTTGCCCAAATCAAAGTCAAGTTCTGCAGCTGTTGTTCTAATGAAGATGGGTCCCTAAGCTGGACCTTTGCAGGGACTCAGCATTGTAGGACTGAAGTGAGCAAGACAGGGCCTTCCTGTTAAAACTGTTCATGGTTTCTACATGCACATGCACACTAGCCCCTCCGACCCTGAAGGGCTGGCAGAGCATCCAGCAAGCTTTGTTCTAGTCCCAGCTTTTGATCTGGGACCTAGCAGATGTTCTTGTAAGTTTGTTTTCCAGAAGAGATGCTGGGAGTATCTAGGTGTGCTCAGCTGTATAGAAGGTGGTGGTAGACAGGGCTAGAGGCTTCCATGCAGCCTTAGGAAGCAGAGCAGCGACTGAGCTGGAGAATGAACAGTTGGGAGCTGGGACCAGGTAATGGCCTCTGGTGAGAAAGGGTAGCTGGGGCTGCTGGCTTCCTACACCAGTAGGTTACAGCCCTATCACCAGAGATATTTTATGCATTCTTGTATGTGGTGTATGTTATGGCATATTTTGAGTCCCTATGATTATGGAACTTTAACTAGAATGTTAGTCCAGAGCATGTTAGTTCCTTCCTAATTTGCTGAGAAGCTGGAGTCTGAAGCCTTGAGAGTCCTTTCCTAGAGGTTTTGTGAGGATGATGATGTGTAGCTTAAACCTAGCAGCTGGCCTAAGTGTTGCTGTTTATTTTGTACTGTCAGGGTGAGCACAGAGTTAGGGAGTCCCTGCAGGGCACGTAAGCTGGTTGTCATTCCATGCCTGCAGTGAGTTGGGTAGCAGTGTATTAGTGCACAAGCACATCTAACTAGTGCATCTTCCTTGTCTCCAGGTATGTCTGACACTAACAGCCAAGCGTATGGCTCGTAAGAACTGTTTGGTGAAGAACCTGGAAGCTGTGGAAACCCTGGGCTCCACATCCACTATCTGTTCTGACAAAACAGGCACTCTGACACAGAACCGCATGACGGTTGCACACATGTGGTTTGACAATCAGATTCATGAGGCTGATACTACAGAGAACCAGAGTGGTAAGACCATCTCTTTGCACTTGAGGCATTTCATTTAAAAAATGGCTTTTTCTGGGGGTTCCTGTATGCCTGTACTTCTAAGAAGCTGTGTTTCTAGCTCTCCAGTCCAAGAGAAGTTCATAGTGCAAGGACTTCTAACATATGATCTGCAACGTACGTTAAAAGACGAGGTGACACATAGAAAGCTTTGCACTGTACCACAGTTGTGTTTAGCCCTTAAACTCCATATAGGTTGCTTTTACTCAGATTTACTCAGATTTACTCCATTGGAATCTGAGCCTCTTGAATGTTCAGCCCATTATGTTTGTCATTTATGTAGAACTATTTGCTGTTCTGTACTGCAGAGTACTGATCGTTTTTGCTGAAATGTATCTGAAATTGCCCCATCTTAAGTCTGCTGAAGGTGTGGACAGCAGAGGTGTTGACCCTGCTAATAATTCCTTGAGGCTGGACACAGATGGAAATATCTCTTGTCGAACTAGATGGCTGCTCTTGAACCAGGGGTTTTCCCAGAACATCCTGGTTTGGTGTTTGCAGAGTGGTAACGATGAGTGAAGTGACTGTAAGACTTCAGCAGGAAGTTTCTCCTAGATGTTGATAAGAATCTGAAGCCTTGGAGTGCTGTGCAATTGAGAAGGTGTAGCTGCCTCTCCAGAACTGTTCAGTACAACCAAATTCAGGAGTTTTCTAGCTGTCATCTACCTTGTGGAATGTGATTGTGACACATTACTAGCATAAACTTCCTGGTGGTGCTACTGCACCCTGCTCCCAACCACTCTAAAACATTGTGCTTGTCTGAACCAGTTAAAAAAAGCTACTGTTCTTGGTCTTTAACGCTAGTGCAAAGTAACAAGCTATAAATAAAGTGTCATTTGGAAGCACTTGGTTTTGGCCTGGCAGCGGTTGGCTTGGCTGCACTAGAAATAAACCTAGAAGATTTCGCTTCATGGGAAGTACATTAGCTTATCAGTTAACTGTCTGTTCAATTCATCTCCCTTGAAGCCAACTTAAGAGCCAGCATGGGAGAAGCAGTATCTTTCTTTATAAGCATTGTTCCTTTGGGAGCTATTTCTTTTAGTTCCTGAGTGATGGATGAAGTGAGACAACCTGGAGGTGGAACCCAGTATCCCTTACTCAAGCCCCTTTGAAAGAATGTTATCTGTCCAGGGTTCCTTGGCTTTTGTCAGTATGGCTCCTGCTGTTGGGTGCAGCAGTTACTGGAATGTCAAAAGCAGTCAAATCTCATGCACTGTTTCACCCTTGGGTCTTAAAATAATGATGAGGGTAAGAACTGAGAGATGTAGTATGCTAACAGGTCTAAGCATTTCCTATTCCTGAGGTAAAGGCTTCTTGCTCTTAAGGCTGTGGGATTTGGGGGTTATGTGATTTTTACTTTTTTTGGATAGGAGCTTTTTGACATTTGTACTCTGCTTTCAGGCGCTTCTTTTGACAAGAGCTCGGCTACTTGGACTGCTTTGTCCAGAGTTGCAGGTCTCTGCAACCGTGCTGTGTTTCAGGCCAACCAGGAAAACGTACCAATTCTTAAGGTGAGTTCCTAAAAGAAATGCTTGTCCTGTTCCCCAGCGCTGCACTCCATATACTGGTAGTGAGATTAAATCCTGTGGGTTGCAGGAACCTGCATAGTAGAAGTATCTGCCACTCGTAATCTTTTTGCAGTCTAGCAGTCTTAAAGGAGATGGGATGGGAAGACAGATTTCCCCTGGCAGGCTCCCTGCCACCCACTAGCATCTACAGTCTGTTTGGGAGGTCATATACTTCAGACAGGGCTAGGAAGGACCAGAAGGCTTTCTTAGGCATTTCCCAATGTCTGGCTGTTCCAAGAATTGCTACATCTGGCACCTGTACACTTAAAAGCTACAGATACCCGGTTCTGGGAACTGGAAGAAGTAGACACCAGAGCTGGAGGAGCAGCAGTTGTGGGAGACAGTCTTTAGCCAGTCTGTTCTCACTGGCATGCCTTGGCTTTTTAAACTTTTGCTGGTTCAACTCTGGTTCAAATGCTGGCATAACATCAATTCAGATTCTTGCTTCTGAACTGTGACCCAGACAGGGCTGAAATTAATGGTACAGTGCTTATAATCTGTCAAATATTGGTCATGTTGCTTAGTAAACTTCTTCCCAAGCATGTTTTGATGCTGTGCTAATAGAAATGATGGAACAAACTATTTTTCCCTAGCACTTCTCTGACTACAGGTCATGATTTTTTTGGACCCAAGATAAAGACCTGGAGTTCCTCCCATCTAAGAATGAGAGAGGGGAGTTTTGGAAGTCTTTAGATACTAAAAAGCAGCATAAAAATGAACAAAAAATCTCACAGACAAAGAGAGCAGAAGGGCAAGAAAAACTTCATTTAAATTGCAGCAAAGGAAACTCAAGCAGGACATAGAGCACACACAGGTCTCCAGGGCTAAAAAATCCTCTATCTATTCTTTGCTCTTGTACCATGTTATGTAGAAGCTGGGACTGGGCTGAGATAATTACACTTTTCTTTGAAATATCTGATCTGTGATGAGTCCACTGGGATGTAGGCCTTGACAGTTGTCTCTTTCCTTAGAGAGAAGTGGTGGGAGATGCTTCTGAGTCTGCACTTCTGAAATGCATTGAATTGTGCTGTGGTTCTGTCAAAGAGATGAGAGAAAGGTATCCCAAAGTGGTGGAAATACCATTTAACTCTACCAACAAGTATCAGGTAAGCGTGTGTCCTCTTGAGGGGGAGCTGCTGTGTGAAATGCTTACATAAGTTTGCAAGTAGTGTGCCTCAGATTGTTGTGGCCCCAGAATCTTGTCTAGCCATTACTTGCTTATAGTCTGGAGCAGTCTACAAATTTAAGTTAACAAATTTAAGTTATACTTAGTTACACTGTGGAAGAGCTGCTGGAGCTGCCTTGACAATAAGGTGTCAGCTGCTGAGAAAAGACCAGACATGCTTCATGCCTGTGTGGCAGTAAAACACAGAATGGAAGAGCCTCAAGTCTGGGAATAGGAATAAACTGCTGGGAAATGACCTGAACAGGTGGAACTGGATACAAGAAAGGCCACTGCAACATCTGGGGTTATATGCTTATGTTAAAGAACACCCAGTAATTCCTTTGTGAAACTTTTTTTAAAGTGAGGGTAAATGAAAACTAGAGCAGAATATCAGACTGTCCTGAGCTGCTGTAGTCACAAAACACTGAGTTGATGGTGGTAAGTTTGACTTTCACTGTACATATCTTCAAAACATTTTCACTTCTTTCACCCTAGCTGTCTATTCACAAAAATGCAAATCCATCAGAATCCCGTTACTTGCTGGTGATGAAGGGAGCTCCAGAGAGGATCTTGGATCGCTGCAGCACCATTCTTATTCATGGCAAGGAGCAGCCACTGGATGAGGAAATGAAAGATGCTTTTCAGAATGCCTACCTCGAGTTGGGAGGCCTGGGGGAGAGAGTGTTGGGTAAGGAAAAGCAGCCTTAATAAATTGGAAAAAATTTGTCCCTCGTGCTTCTGTGTGGAGTCCCCACAGATTAAGTGGATGGTTGTTGTACTCTGTTCCTGTAGTGTAACCATAGTGTTGAGTCAAGCTCACTTCAGCAATTCATATAGGAACAGTCCTGCCTTTAGCCTTTAAATTAAAAGGCAGCCTGCAGGGTCTTGTCTTGCCCAGAGCTGGGTCACTTCGATGAAAATGAAGCAAAGGATTTGGGACCTTTGGTCTCCATGGGGCCACATGGTATTAGATTTGCTCCACTGCATGTGAACCAAGCTGTCTGGGCACCTAGCAACAGCTATTAGTTATCAGAATATGAGAGTGGCTCCTGCCTCAATAGTCCTGGCCAAACCTCTGGTGCTGTCCTGTTATTCTTGCGCTGCTGTTTGCAGAAGCAATAAGCGTTCGCTCTCTCTGCCTCCTGATATGTAGGAACAGAGTAAACACGTGTTTGATGTGTTACAGGATTCTGTCACTTGGCTCTGCCGGACGATCAGTTCCCTGAAGGCTTCCAGTTTGATACAGACGAGGTCAACTTCCCTGTAGACAAGCTCTGTTTTATAGGACTGATGTCTATGATTGACCCTCCTCGTGCTGCTGTGCCAGACGCTGTTGGCAAATGCAGAAGCGCTGGGATCAAGGTAGTTTATTCCTGGGTTGAAAATTGCCAAGCTCTATACCTGGGGATACAAAGGGCTTCCTTTACTCTGTGTTCTGTAATGTGAATGTGTGAAGGGAAGTATTGATCGGGATTTAACTAGTACTACTTCAGGCTTCATTTCTGAGTTAAATACAAATGACTGTATGCTAATGGACTGAAAAACAAGTTAGACTCCAATTTGCTAGGGTACTGGCAGGGGCTGATAGCATGGTGCCCCAAAGCGTGTGACTTGGCTTAGGTGTGTTCTGCATGTCCTGCTGTACTGACTGAGATGAGAGAACAAAGCACCGCCTGGAAACGGAACTGGATCTGTTGTCTCAGGATTAACAATTTTCTTTGTCTTTCATCCACCTCTATCCCTTGCATACTGGTAACAGGTTACAGCCTGTACCTTAGCCTTGCTCTGTGCCAGGGCTCACTGGTACAACAAAAGCCACGTGGCCTTTTCAGCCTCAGGGGACCCTGCCTTTGGGGCAGTGTTGCTCTGGAGTACAGGCAAGGCTTTCACGGCAGTCTGTTTGCATTTCAGGTTATCATGGTTACTGGAGACCATCCGATCACAGCCAAAGCCATTGCCAAGGGTGTCGGCATCATCTCTGAGGGCAATGAAACGGTTGAAGATATTGCTGCTCGACTTAACATTCCTGTCAGCCAGGTCAACCCTAGGTACTGACTGGTGGGGAAGGCCAGAGCTGTTCAAAGAATTAAGCATTTGCCTCGCTCCTTGCCTTGGATAATCCCTTAGCATCTCTTCTCTAGGCACAAAAATCTTGGCATCTGCTTAGCTCAGCATGTTGTGGCTCTTTAGTGTGTATCATGAGTTATGTGAAGAATGCACAAAGCTGTCTTGAATGCATGTGGCTCTTGTGCCTGGGAAGTAGTTAGGGAAGAGTAAGCCCTGTACAGAAAAGTCAGGCAGTTTCCTCCATCCTTTCTCTGCCCTGTAGCTGCCTGTCCTGATGGTCTTGTCTCCACACTGGGGAAAAGAAACACCTGTCTGGGTGAAGTCTTTTGGTGGCTAGTTTTTTTTTCCCCCTGAGCTGACTATTTGCCCTGTCTGCTTCATGTCACTGCACAAACACCATGTACTGGCCCAATGCAGCAGGCAGGAAAAAGGATCTCAAGTCATATAGGGGAGGGGGGTGGCTCTGGGGACTGTTTTGAGCAATGTTGCTGCAGACCCTGAAACCACATACTCCTGTGATTCTGGGTCTCTAAATAGAGGCTAAGTCTAGTTTTGCCCCCAAACATATACTTAGCAAAGCTTATTTAGTAAGATAACTTACAGGTTCATGGAAAAACTTGAATAAAAGCAAAGTACCTAGTTAGTCACAATCCAGACTGAATGGGCTACTGAAAGTAAATTTTCAACTGTTTCATACTGTTTATAGGTTGTGTTTCAGCTCTTTTTCTCTAAACTTCATCTCTCAAACCTCAGTTCTGTTCTTGCTCTTAAGCTTTCTTCTGAGTCTGACTGCAGATGAGCAAAGGGAGCAGTTGACACTAGTCAGTAGCTACAAGCAGAATAAATGTGAAAATGGATTTTCTTCTTGTGGGTTAATGTTTGCCTTTATAGCCTAGTGCAGAACTGAGGCATCCTCAGAAAATGTGCTTTGGCATAAGCGGGCTGTTTGCAGAATGGCTGGGCTGTCTGTGTTGCTCAGCTTGACCCAGCCTGTGTTTGGGCTGGAGGGTAGCCATGTAGCTTATGAGCTGTGAATAGAGACACCCTGTGGAATGACATTGCTTGGGGAAGACAAGTATTGTGACTGAATTCTTCTCCTCTTTCTTTTTTTTGAGGGTAACTTCACAACCTAGCCATGCAAGGCCAGGGATTACTGGGCTGTGTGACTGGGCAGGTCAGCAGCTGGCTATAAGGGTGGGGAAGGAATTTCCCTGTCTAAACTGGGTGGTGTCATGAGCTGTGTCGATAGTCTCCTAGACCTATAAGGGATGGTATGCTGGATTGGAGAGGTGGTATTTTGCTGTAGCATGCACGGTACCAAACCAGTCTAAATATAACCTTGCATGCTTTTGTTGCTGAAGAGCGTAAAATAGTCTGAACTGGCATAGCGTGAGCTCTCTCTGGGAAGAGCCACATGTAGATTGTCTGTTGCAAAAAGGATTGCACTGCAGCATCTGTTGTGGTGTTGGAAGCTAACTGCCTGAGTCAAGGGTTCCTTTCTTGCAGAGAGGCCAAGAGCTGTGGAAACAACTAATCTTTGCCTTGATGCATTTTTAAAAAGTGATAGAATTTGTCTGCTCATAGAGCTTTTTGTTTGTTCCTTGGCCCTGTCTTGCCCTTTTCTTTGTGTTCCCCATCTACCTTCTAAACTTGGAGCATCAAACTTCTGTGCAGAGGCTGCCTGGAATAGTATTTAGTCACAGCAGGAGTTGGCCTTTCCCTAGAGCACTGGAGAGCCATATTTTTATGGGGCAAATACAACTAATGAGGAACTTAGCTTAATTCGTGAAGTAAAACATTATATTGTCTCTTGATTGCAGGGATGCCAAAGCTTGTGTTGTTCATGGCTCACGTTTGAAGGACATGACTAGTGAGCAATTGGATGAGATCCTGATGCATCATACAGAAATTGTCTTTGCCCGGACATCTCCTCAGCAGAAGCTTATAATTGTGGAAGGCTGCCAGCGACAGGTAAAGAGAGGGAGCCCAAGGATTTCATAGTGGATAAATTCCCAGTCATGTATATGAACTACCCACCAGTGCTGCCTTCTGAAGTGTCAGGGCTTAGTCTTCTCAGTACCCTCACGTAAAAGGCCAGACTAGATACTAGTCTGTCAGTAGCCTTCAGCTGCTGTCAGGCTGCTCTACAGTACTTAAATATAAGGGTCTTGCAGGAAAACATCTTTGGTTTGTACTGAGGCTTGCTTCTGATCCTGTGATGTTTAACACAATTCCTAAATGCTCTGGAGGTTCTTGGGAGAGGAGGATTTGATGTCCAACATCTCCTTTTGAGAGAGCAGCATGGTTCTGTCATAAGTCTGATCAGAAAAGGGAAAGGGGTGCAAAGAGGACAAGGAGAAACTGATGTCTCAACAGCAAAGTGAAATACCTTTTTTTATACTTCATCTTCTGGAAGACAGGAGAAAGCTTTTTCTGCCCAAACCATCTTAGGATGATTTCAGTCTTTCTATCCCTCTTTTTGACTAGGGTGCCATTGTAGCAGTCACAGGTGATGGTGTGAATGATTCCCCAGCCCTGAAGAAAGCTGACATTGGTGTTGCTATGGGTATTGCTGGCTCTGATGTCTCCAAGCAGGCTGCTGACATGATTCTCCTGGATGATAACTTTGCCTCCATTGTCACTGGGGTTGAAGAAGGTGAGTTAGTAACTTATGTGCAGTGGTGGCGAAGTGGCATGCTTCAGCAGTGTTACTTACTGATTCCCTCTGTTTCAGAGGCATCTGGAGGGTGCTCCTTTATTTGAGCTTGTCTCCATGACAAGTGTTTTCAGGGAGGGCAGCGCTTGCCTCCTCTCTTCAAAGTCTTTTCCCTTTCCATGGGACCAGCACAACCCTTTGGGATGATCAACAGTAGGAAGCAGCTGAGTAACAAAAGCTACTTTGTCCTCTTGCCTAACACTGACCCTACAGTCATCTTTGCCATCTGAGTCTGACATATTTTCCTCCCTGATGGAGTAATAGCTCTCAAACAGGAGCAGAGCAGAGGGTACCTCCAGGGACTCTTGATCTTCAGAAACCAGGGCTTAGTATCCTACTACTGTATGCAGTGAACCCTGATTGCTGTGACCAAAAATATTACTTTCTGTAGGTGATGCCATGCATGGAGCACACAGTCTCAGCCTTGCATGCAAGAGAACTCTTTGATTTGCTCTACTAGCATTTTGCCTTTCAGTGTTACCACTGAAGCTGCTTATCTGCTACTGGGCTGCCTTCTGCTGCTTAGTGAGGCTTATGTTGTTCTCTCTTCTTTGCCCCAGGGCGTCTGATCTTTGATAACCTGAAGAAGTCTATTGCTTACACCTTGACCAGTAACATTCCTGAAATCACACCGTTCCTGATCTTCATCATTGCAAACATACCCCTTCCACTGGGAACAGTCACCATCCTCTGCATTGACTTGGGCACTGACATGGTGAATGTCTTTTTCTGTCTTGGGAAGAAATGTAGGTGGTCTTAGGTACCCTAAAGAAAGGACAGGTGGAAGGAAAATGCCTAAATACGGTTTTCTCCAGTGTTCTGATTTAAAATAAGTGACCATTTGAATACCCCCTTAATCCACACTCACTGTCTCATGGCTCTCAGTCTGAGGATCCTTCAGTTCCATGTAAGGACAAACTGGGGATGGGGAGGGTGTAAGGTCCTTCCTGAATACTGCAGCTGGAGCCTGAAAACTTGGGGCAGGGAAGACTTACAATGGAAAGTTGAAATGGTTCTAACAGCTCTCCTACCCCCTCCAAAGGTCCCTGCTATCTCCCTGGCATATGAGCAAGCAGAGAGTGACATCATGAAGAGGCAGCCCAGAAATCCCAAAACTGACAAGCTGGTGAATGAGCGGCTGATCAGCATGGCCTATGGGCAGATTGGTGAGCTGCTCTGTCTTCTCTGGCAGTGATTTGAGCTCGGCAGTAGCGGGGGTTTATAAACCATCCTGAGTCAGTGACTGTTCTGCTTACTTCGGTAGGGTTGAGGTTGGGGATGTGTAAACCAGAACCTCAGGCTGTTAAGAATTTGCCATGATTCTTCCCCCGTGGCACATAGCAGTGGCTTGTGCAGCTTGATCCATTGAATTGCTTTCACAGTAATTTTGTTTAATTGCATAGTGCTGTAAAGGAGCTGGCTGACAACCAGCTCTCCTCTGGTTCAGACTTGTTCAGCAAGAACATAGATCCCATTGTTAGTTTAATTAGAAGTAAAGGATTCTCTCCAGCGTATCCCTAAACACACACAGTATTAGGAGCCTTGATTAAAGGCAGCTACAGGGACATGCCCAGTTCACAGGATGGGAGCTCATGCTTAATTGGAGCAGACCTTGGGAACTTTCTTGACTGTATTTTGCAATGGTTGGGGGTGGTCAAGGCTTAATGAGAACACAAAGGGAGTTTTATCTTGTGTCCTTGAGTACCATGCCATCACAGCACAGGGCAGAACAGAAGTAACTCTGTACAAAGTTGGGAGCAGAAGCCGCTCAGTGAAAGGATTGCAGCTGAGTTTGATGTTAGTGTGAGCTATTTCTATAGCTGCTGCTCAGGAGACTGAGCTACACAAGGAGTAATTTTTTTTTAGGTGGTTGGGGTTTCCTGCAAACTGCTTTGTGTTATAATTGCACTGCACGGTAGCTACATCCATTTTATCATCCTTTCTATCTGTTTAGGTATGATCCAGGCCCTTGGAGGTTTCTTTACCTATTTTGTAATCATGGCAGAGAATGGGTTCTGGCCTTCTGGCTTGCTAGGGATCAGAGTTCAGTGGGATGACCGATGGATTAATGATGTGGAAGACAGCTACGGGCAGCAGTGGGTAAGTCTTGAGGCATCACTTGGAGGCTGCTAGCCAGAATACTAATGCCTGCTGAACTTGGTGTGAGCACCAAAGAGCAAAGGCAGCATGCCTGAACAAATGCTTTCTGCTTTATCTGCTTCCTAGACCTACGAACAGAGGAAAATAGTGGAGTTCACTTGCCATACAGCCTTCTTTGTCAGCATTGTGGTTGTGCAGTGGGCGGACTTGATCATTTGTAAGACCCGAAGAAACTCCGTCTTTCAGCAGGGGATGAAGTAAGTCAGGATGTCCATGGAAGATTTAGAATTGGATGCTGTGTGTTTTCCAGCGTACGGCATTCTAGTTTTTTGTCCCAGCAGTGTTTGGGCATCTTGGCATAAGTCTTGAACAGTCGGGTGCCTTGATACTGGGTAAAAGAGGGACCTGGGTGCTCTTTCTTGTAGTACCTGCTATGGTTGTCAGGCTGAGACAAAGTGAAATGCTGATTTCTGCAGGCACTGTCTGTGGGAGTTAGCCCACCTCAAAGGACAGTGACACCCTCCAGCATACATCCTTGTGTGGCAACAGAGCAGCTGATGTATCATGAGATCTGATGGTGTGAACCCCAGCCACCTTCTGAATTTGTGAAGAAAGCAATTGGCTCTAGTTGTGAACTGGAATATATCTGTCTAGAGAATTAAAATACCCTTCTGGCAACTGTGCTATCAGCTTGGATGGCCTCATGGTCCCCACCTGATGGACTCTGGGCTAGACCAGAATGTGTTTTTCCATTCAGTACCATGTAGCAACTAAATGTTTTTTGGGATGTCATATGTGAGTGTTTTGTTCCTGACGGCTTTACTGTTTCTACTAGGAACAAAATCTTAATATTTGGTCTGTTTGAGGAGACTGCTCTGGCTGCCTTCCTCTCCTACTGCCCTGGAATGGATGTTGCTCTAAGGATGTACCCTCTCAAGTAAGTTGCATCATGCCTTTTGTGCAGCAGACTGTACCACAGAACAAAAGTGTTTTGGTCAGGAGAAGGATAAAAGTAGGTGTGAGCCTGTGGAGCATGATACCTAGCCTTAACCCAGAAGAGCTCAGCCTAGAGGGTGTAAGCCATCCTTTGCTATACTGTGATACAGAAGGGGTTTGCTTTTCTTTACTACTTATGGAATGTTTATGGGGAGCCTGCAGTTAAGTGCCCCACTAAAAATTAGCAACACAACTTCAGTTGTTGTACCAGTGTCCTGTAGCACATCTGCTTTTGTACTTACTTGCATGGGGTATTTTTACAGATAGGAGACTGCATCTCCAAATAAAGCCAGTTGAATTGCTCTAAAACATGTCAGGTGATTCTCCTTTACTTACAGGAACTGGTAATGATGTCTTGTGCCTTTTTCTACCTTCCACAGAAATAGCACAAGTAATAAAGCCTTTTGGAAGATACTACATAGGTAGAGAAGTCCAGTTGGTGCATAGTAACTTTCCTAACAGCTGGGAGGGTGCCAACATCTTGAGCATTGCTTAACAGCATTGCAACATCTCATGGCAGGGTTTAGTCTCAGACTTCAAACAGTCCTCTGGCTGAAATGCCATGAAATTTTCATGGCAAAAAAAACCCTCTGGTACCTCTTGCATTCTATTCAGAAGTTTTGTCTGGAGTTGGTTGCTGAAGTGTGAGCATTTCTTAACAAGAAGGCGGCCTCTGCCCAGTGCCTGCAGCAGCTGGCTGTTAGCATGTGTAAATCAGAAGGGAAATGAGTGCAGTTAAGTGAGCAGGGATGTGGGCACAAAGGTTATGTGTGCTTAGAGGAAATATTCCTAGATTAATAGGTGGTGAGGTGCTGGTACAGAGATGAACAAAGGTGCTATGACACACCTCATGTTGGAATTAATATCCAAAAGTGGGTTAACCTATTGGAGGAAGAAACTTGGTGATAATTCATGGCTTAGAGGATTCTCAGCTGAACCACAGCCTTGTGGGAGCTGGCGAGCTGGGACATGCCAGCCTTCCTGCACTCCTTTGTGCCATCTAGTCAGAGCTTTGTGAGGCAAAGAGCATCTCTGCTGCCTGTGTTCTCACTGTCTCCTCTCCCAAACAGGCCAACCTGGTGGTTCTGTGCTTTCCCATACTCCCTCCTCATATTCCTGTATGATGAAGTCAGAAAGCTCATTATCAGACGCAACCCTGGTGGTAAGAATATGCTGCTAATCTGTGTGTTTCTTTCCCTACCTCTTCATGCTGTTGAGCTCTGTAGAAGCTCTGACAATGCTCAGGGATCCCCAGTGCTGAACACTCCGCAGGGATATATTTTTTTGCTGTGTTTTCCCTTCCTCAACATTAATAGTGTAGTTAGTTCAAATTAAAGACTTTTTCTGTCCTTCTCCCTGCATTCTCCCACTTGTGTATTCAGTACCAGTGTACTGAAGTAGAGGGAAAAGACTTGGTTAATGCTTGGGTACTTCTAGAAAGCTGGGAGGGGGTCTGAAAGCTGCAGGACATCAACAATTTCCCAAGATTTTTCCATTGTGATAGGTCACTAGCTCAGGTGCTACAGTGCAAGTTTTCAGAGCTTAAAAGGAGCTTTTATGAACCTCATACTTGGTCTGCCTTAAGACTAACTGATGTCTCTCCCTCCTTTAGGTTGGGTGGAAAAAGAGACCTACTACTAAAAAAGCGCCTGTAAAACATTCCACGCACAGCCCACGCCACCTCTCCACCATCTCCCCTGTGTGTGTACTTCATCTTTGTAAGTGCAGAACTGTGCCTGGGCAGGAGTGAGCTGAAGCTAAAGGAAACATGAAGAAACATGGACTGGAAGAGACAGGGAGGGGGAGGTGGGGGTGGGGGGAGTGTCTGACCATCAGTCCATGGGGATAAGAGTGAGTAGTTTTATGTGCCTTTTTGTTTTTGTAAAAGGAAACTGAAGATTTTATATGTGGATTTTTACAAATAAAGATGGATTATAAGAGGATGCCCCCACATGGTCTTAGGTGGATGTTTTTCTCAGGCAAAAACTGGGGGCAGGGCAGCCTCCCCTCCCTGCCTAGGGTGTGGTGGTGACAGCATGGGTTAGCCCCTGGCTTCCCATTTTTATAGGAGGGAAGCAGAGCTGCTTGACCCAGAGACAACAGCATATGCAGTTTTTAAAAGCCCTGGTGCATCCCACTCTAGCTCAGTGCTTGCAAGCACTTGCATTTCAAAGCCTGCAGCTGGGGAAGCTTGCTGACCTCTAACTACATGTCTTGGCTACTTTCTGCAAATGTAGCACTGAGCTGGGAGAAGAGCTGGTGGCTAGATGTGTGCTCTGGCCTGCTTTAAGGGGCTGTGACTTGCTGGGTTCAGAATGAGAACAAACTTCCCCTGAATGGCACTTGGATCCAAGCAGCCTTGTTCTCAAAATTCTGACGCAGATTTTCCTGCTTGCTTTGCCAAGCAAAGGATAGTGTTCCCTAGTGTCCTCTGTGCATGCACACACTTGTTCCAGCATGGCCCTTGCCCCATCCCCATACCAGCTTGTGCCTGCAGCAGGGTGAGGGCAGAGGCTAATCGTGGGTACAGGGTCCTACATCTTCCACTTTTGAGGAAGGCATTGCTCTTGTCTGGGCTCCAGGTTGGCTCTGTGGGCTGAAGTGAGTTGGGCTGCTTCCCTCTGAGTATCTAGCCATTTTCTGTATGTTTTGATTTACTGTTTAATGCTTGTATAGTTTGCTTCTGAGAACTTGGTAGGAGAGCTGACCTTTTGTATGTGGACAGTCACCATGAAGTCCTCACTTCATGCTCCAAGTGCTTTTGTGCTAAAGCCACCTGGAGATGCTTCAGTCACTTGGTCCTGTTCCTGAACTGCTGGTCAGATGCCTCTTAGATGTGTGTTGATCTCTGCAAAAGCATTACTCTGAACCATAGCACTGAAAGGATCCGCAGTTAAAACTCTGTGTTGTCATCCCTCCTTCCTTGTTACTTTTTTTTTAAGGTGTTATTTTAAAGCCAGGTCACTTCTCTCATGTACTGAACAATATAAACTCAAATAATAAAGAGCACTGGGGAGGGAAAAAAACAAGAGGCTGACGGTGGCAACTGTATTAACTTGTCTTGAACACTCTAATGTGGAACTTCCAGTTGGAGATAATTAAAAAATAAAGTCTTCCAATTGTTGGAGTCTGCCCATGATAACAGCTGAATTGATGCAACAGCTTGAGGTGACCCTGTCTGGAAAGGGGAGATCAGTTGTACCGAGGAAGGAAGAAGGGGGGATGATTTTTACGGGATATGATGATGATGAAGTGATGCAGGAATGACACTTGTTTGAACTTTCTAATTGGTGCCTGAGACTTCCTCAGAGTTCCGCTGCAATGGAGTTGCAAAATCAGTGTTGCTGGTTTCATGCAGGCAAAAAAAAAAAAAAGGAACTTGTTCTTCCCCCTGGCATTTCAGCTTTAAACAGCCTTAGTGGTGGGCCTCGCTACAATAAAAGATGTAGGTGAGGAGGGACCCCTGAAGGTCCGGCTGCCTCCTAAAGTGCAGTCAGGTTGGTTCCTCATGGCCTTGTTGAGCTGAGATCTGAATATTGGTGGGGAGAAGGGGGGCCCTGTAGCTCTTGAGCGCCTGTGCTAGAGCTGAGCCCCTGCCCTGTGAGCTCAGACAGTTCCCTGCTGGGCTGTAGTGTAGCTGAGGCTCCATTACGAGCTGTGTCTTGCAGGAAGGTTCCTTGGACTATGCTTGCTGCTCAGGAGTAGCATCTCCCCTGCCTGTCTCACGCCAGTCTGGGAGCATCTCTTGCATTTCACACACACTGGTCTAGTTGTGATCTCCTCAAAGAAAGCTACTCTGAAGCCAAGCCTGGAGCAGGCACTGGTTAATGTTAAATGAAAGCTTCACGCTGCTGGCACTGCTTTCATATCCTTGCCTGGATGGCTGGGGCAAACAGGGCTCCGATGCTTGGGGAAGGGAGCAGGTAAGCAGGGCTAGGGTGGTGGTGAATGCAACACAAGATGTTTTCTATTGACTTTAGGTGATCATCAACATTTAGAAGTTAAGAAATATGTAGTAATTAGACACAGCTCTTGCCACACAGCTGAGCTCATGCTCCTGACTCCTTTTCCACCCTCAGAGATGTGCTTCTGGGGGCAACAGTGTCTCCTTTAACCTAGACCCACAAGGAAGACTTTGCACGAGGTGCCTGTGACTCACCCCCTCCCACCTGCTAAGGGGACCTGAAATAGCAACAGTCCCTGACTAGACGGGTGCAAAAGGGCTCCCAGAAGACAAAGTTCACAGGGGACACAGGGACAGTAGAGGTGTGTGCTCCACCCATGGGTCTTCTTTGCTCAAGGTAGGGCCCTGAGGCCAGCTGGGGGTGGTGCCCGGCAGCATTTGGGAGCCTCAGCAGACCCCTACAGAGCAGTTACCTCGCTTACTGCCAGGCTCTTGCTGAGGTGGGTTTAGTCCCTGGTAATCCTTTGTTTTCACAAGACCCACCAATTAGTAAGAAGAAAGGCACTAGTGCCTCCCGGGTACCTACTCCCCAGCACCGTTCCTCAAGGGATAAAGCATTTTTCCACCAGACCTGGCAGCTTTGAGCATCTCCACAGTGGTAGCTCTCCCCTGACTCTCTGGCCTGAAAACAGGAGGAGAGCAAAATACCCCCTCCAACCCATTAGGCCACTGAACCACCTGATTAGCCAAAACACAAAGCAGATTAACCCCAATTAGGTGGAAATGTGTAAACGAACATATTCATTAAAGCCTTTTGGATAGGCTGCCCAGGAGCCTGGCTTTGAACACACCTCCCAGGGACATCCCATAACTCCCACTTGCAGCTTTATACTCCATCAGGTCCCAAACCATACCATGCACCTTCTGTGCTCCCCCATAGCTCCCTGCTGCAGGCTTGCTCAGACCTTACCTGCAATTGCTTCAGATATTGCTGTGTTCCTTCTCTCCCTTTCCCTCTCTCCCGTCTTTCACCTCTCTCTTCCTCTTTCCACCATTTCCAGCCTCTGCAGCCCTCCTCCTCCTCTCTCCCCTTTACTCCATGTGCCATCCCAAAGGCCTCTGGATTCCTGGGCTTTGCTGAAAAGAGTATGGTAGAGGGTCTGTATCTAAGTTAAGTTTTACTTCCCATAGGGATAGAAATCCCTCTCATCACACTTATCTGTCCTGCCATGAGATCACCGTTTTCCCTGCTTTTTTTCATCTGGTTTCCCAAACACAGTAGCATATTCACTTGCGTGAACCTTTGAGCCCCCTGACTCTTCAGAAGGCTGGAAAGCAAATATGGCCAGTTTGCCCAGCTCTGGTAACAGCAGCAATGGGATCCTGCATTTCTATGCTTCCTTTCACTTTAAAAGGCCCCAAATTTCCTGCACGGTACACAAAAAAATTCCCTCTGCCTCCAGGAGGCTTGTGCTGCTGTCAGGCAAATAGCCAGTTCAAACAGCCCAGAGGGGAGATCTGATTGGGAGGGAGATACAGAAAACCCTCTCCAGTGAAATGCCACCAGAACTTTCCTACTAGAGCTGGAAAAAAGCTGTGCTTCCCAAGGAGCGCGGGACTCCGGTCCCCGTGCCTGGGAAAGTTGGTGTCACCCCCCAGAGGCTTGCCCAGCCAGTACCCCGTGTCCAGTGCACTTGCCAAACTGGATCCCCAATGTGCAGAAACAAGCCAGAAAGTGAGGGGTGGTTTGAGAAGTCAGTTGTGAGGAATGGGAAACCTCTGCAGGCAGAGCAGCTCAGCTCCTCCCCATACTGCTGCAGAGGATAGGCTGAACAGCCAGCAGAAAAAATTCACAGTAGCTTTTTAAATGTTAAAGGGGAAAAAAAAAAAAAAGGATTCTTGACAAGGTGTCATGTGCATGGACTGGGACCCACAGCTGACTGGAATCAGGGTTAAAAATAGACATCAGCACTAACGGGCTCAGAGCAGCCTTTGGTGAATGAGTCCCAAGGTGAATTATGAAATCTAACACGCATTCTCTCCCTAACAAGTGTGGTGTCTATTGAGGGTTATTTACCTTGGCCTTCATACCTGCTGGACATAAGATACTACTCTCAGGTTTCACAATTAAACAGATCTGGGCCCGATGGAGAGACAGACAAGGTGACAGAGGCACTGTTATGGAGGATTCAGCTCCACACAACTTCTCAGCAACAGCAGTGGCCAAAGGAGCTTCTGGTTGTGGGCCCTTGTCCAGACAAACTGACCCAGCTAAGCTGTGGTGCCACTTGGTGAGCATCCTGAAACCCCTTATTTGTACAACACCCACCTGTCTATCCATGCATGTATTTGGTGATATGTATTAGGTGGGGAGGATCTGATCATTTACATCCAACCAGTGCCCACCTGCATTACCCATCCCTGCAAATCTGCTCTGGCTGAGGCATGGAAACAGGGCTGCGTTTCTGTCGCATGAGCCAGAACATCTTGCGGTGACTTTGTCCCACCTGATCCAGAAAAAAAAAAGCAGACCAGCGCAGGCTGCGCAAGAATTATCACCTCAAAAATTCACAAAAGATTTTGAACCAACAAGTTTGTACGCATCTGCCCCGTGTACGGCACGGTCAGGGTGTGTTTGATCTGATGTCAGGAGCCCTACAGTCAGGTTTACCACATCATCAAGCTATGACCTGAAAGGGCTGGAAAGAGTCTTCCCTCTCTTGATGCTGCCCCAGAGCCCGAAGCTGGGCTCACAGGCAGAGGAGATGGGAAAAAGCAGGCAGCTGGATTTTCTTCTCCCCAGTTAGGCAGTTTTCCCCCTTTTCCAGTTTTAACTGCAGCTAATCATCCAAGCACTTTTTTCCTTGTTCCTTGTTTTTTCCTTTAAAAAACACTTTATAAAAGCAAATCAGCCAGGCTGAAATGTGGTTGTCCCCAGCCTCCTCTTTGTCACACGTGCTCCCCCACACACTCTTACTTCTCCGCTCTCCCAGTTTTTTTAGGAAGCGATTAAAATAGAGGAGATTAAAATAGAAATGAAGAGAGTTTT